TTCTAAATTACGATTACGATAAGAAAATAAAATTTGTTAGCGATATGAAACTGTGTGTTAATTGTTTGCGCACTGGTCACACTGCCGATTATTGCCGTTTTGGTCCCTGCAGAAAATGTAACGAAAAACATAATTCGCTAATTCATAATGACAGTAACATATCATCCGTGTCCTACAATGTAAATAACAATTCCGGCTCAGTTCACGCATTGCACCGCACTGAGGATCCTGCGCCTGCGCCGCTCGCTCACTCCGGGCGTAAGCCCTCTTTCCCCACGCACTCCGTCCCGCGGTCGCCTGCCGCGTCCTTATCAGAACAGGTTTCAATCATACATGCGAATAAAGCACATTTACCTGATGCACAAACAATAGCGGCCAATGTTGTTTTGCTGTCTACTGCGTTAGTTGAGATAGCCGATCCTTATAATAATATTCATGTTGCCCGCGCGCTCCTTGATAGCGGGAGCGAACGTTGTTTCATTACTAAACAATTATGCGATTCACTTAAAGCGCCAGTAATACAGTCCACTCAACAAATACGAGGTGTTGGTAACTCGGTCACAAATTCAACTCAAATATGTGACATCGAGATTAAATCGCGCACCAACCCGTATTCTACGCATTTGCAGTGTTATGTTCTTCCGGTAATCACTCCTTCGTTACCGGCTATAACACTCCAATCTTCTCATTTCGACATTCCCGACAATGTTCAACTAGCGGACCCGAAATTTTATGAATCCCACAAGATAGACATTCTAATCGGCGCAGATAAATTTTGGGATTTATTAAATAATAACAATAAATTAAAGTTATTAAGCGGGCCTTTCTTATTAGATACTAAACTCGGGTGGGTAGTGTCAGGACCTATTTGTACGCTTTTGCGACAAGATAAGTACATACAATGCAACTTCTCTCAATCAGTCGAGTCCTTGCTACGTCAGTTTTGGGAGCTCGAGGAAGTAACTGTAGCTCGGGATACGTGCACAGACGAGGAACGCGCGTGTGAGGAACATTTCGTCACTACAACTACGCGAAATAGTGACGGACGATTTTGTGTTCGTATACCTTTTAATAAAAATACAGATACATTAGGCGAAAGTTATTCACAGGCTGTGCACCGGTTTTTTGCGCTAGAGAAAAGGCTTCAGCGTCATCCCTATTATAAAAAACTTTATACAGACTTTATGCATGAATATATACGTTTGGGTCATATGAGTCGTGTTGATCAGTACGGGAAACAACATTATTTTTTGCCACATCACGGTGTTTTTCGTGAGCACAGTACTACGACTAAATTACGAGTGGTATTTGATGCAAGTGCCAATACGAGCAACGGCGTTTCGTTAAATGACTTACAAATGGTGGGCCCGGCCATACAAGGCGACCTCATGGCTATTCTCATTAGGTTTAGATTTAATAGGTACACAGCTTGTGCGGACATAGAAAAAATGTACCGACAGTGTCTTATTCACGAAGATCAACGTGATTTGCAATTGATCTTATGGCGTGACGATCCGTCAGAGCAATTAAGCATTTATAGGCTAAACACGATTACCTACGGAACCGCTTCCGCACCGTTTTTGAGTTGTAGATGTTTAAAGCAGTTGGCTGCTGAAAGCACGAATTCTGACGTCATGAGAGTTATTAGCGAGGATTATTATGTAGACGATATGATTACAACTTCTGAGAGTAAGGAATCTTTGTTGCAAACTTGTCAAGCAGTAGAAAAAACTTTACTTTCTGGTTGCTTTCCACTTAGGAAATGGAAGTTTAATTTCGATTCAAACGAAATGCAGCATGAAACATCTAAGGATTTGTCTTTGGGTGAGAATATACATTCGAAAACTTTAGGTTTAGGCTGGTTTCATACTACGGATCAATTTCATTTTAACACAGCATTTAAAAGAGATAGTTCTCAAACTATCACAAAGCGTTATATTATGTCAATGATATCACAAATCTTTGATCCGTTAGGATTATTAAGTCCATTTGTAATTTTAGGTAAAATTCTATTGCAAAAACTTTGGTTAATAAAAATAGGTTGGGACGAAGAAGTCCCTGGGGATGTCAAAGAAGTTTGGGAACGATTTTCCTCTTCTTTGCATGTTCTTGGTGACATACGCATACCTCGGTACGTACAGGGAATGAAACCCGTAGGTCGAGAGTTACATATTTTTTGTGATGCCTCGGAGTCTGCGTATGGAGCATGCATTTATATTCGCACTATTAACATTGATTCTTCTGTATCTGTTCAGCTTTACTGCTCAAAGGCAAAGGTTGCACCCTTAAAGTCAATTAGTATCCCAAAGTTAGAATTATGCGCGGCGTTATTGGGTGCAAAACTGTTTAAAAGAGTACGTGAAGCCCTTTACTCTGTTGATTTTAACAACGTAGTTTTTTGGACCGACTCCACTATTGTGCTGGGTTGGTTACGCATGGCTCCTAACTTGCTAAAAACATTTGTGAGGAATAGAGTTTCAGAAATCCATGAAATTGTTAAGGATGTACCCTGGTATCATGTAAGTGGAGGCAACAACCCCGCTGATTTAGTGTCCCGGGGGCTGTATTTAGACAAACTTAAATCAGCCTCATTATGGTGGGAGGGACCGTCATTTCTTCATAGTTCTGAAATTGAGTACGGAACCAACCGTGAAAATAATTATAGTAAACAAGATTTACCTGAACTAAAGGTAAACTGCACCTTTTTGGCTAGGACAGAGATTTCTATTTTTCCTTTTCAAAGATTTTCACAATATACTCGGATGAAATATACGCTAGCGTATGTCCTGCGTTTTGTACATAACACGCGTAATAGATATCACGGTCGCCGCGGGCCACTCACTGTTGAGGAGTTGCGATTGTCAAACTTACATCTTATAAGGTTTTCGCAGCAAGAATCGTTTCCAGAGGAATACAAAATGCTATTGAACAACGGACATCTAAAAACTACTCACAAATTGATAAAATTAAATTTATTTATGGATGATGACCAAATCATACGCGTAGGCGGTAGGATGGAAAATTCAGCAGCTTTTCCTTATGATAAGAAGCATCCAATGTTGTTGTCGTCTAAACACTGGTTTACATTGGTGCTTTTTCGGGACGAACATAAGCATTTGCAGCATGCCGCGCCGCAGGCGCTATTGTACAATATACGCGAACATTATTGGCCAGTTGGAGGTAGGGATCTTGCTAGGCTAACTGTACACAACTGCATTATTTGTAAGCGATTGAGGGGTAAAACTTTGTCACCCATGATGGGTAACTTACCGCAAAAAAGAATCACTCCGAGTTTTCCTTTTATAAATTGTGGCGTAGACTATGCAGGGCCGGTGTTCACATTAAACCGCAGAGGCAGAGGCTCAAGGTTGGTCAAGGGTTATGTTTGTCTATTCGTCTGCTTTGTAACTCGCGCCGTGCATTTAGAGCTGGTTTGTGACTTATCTTCGGACGCCTACCTTCTCGCATTAAAGAGATTCATCTCACGTCGCGGTAAACCTGATCAAATTTTCTCAGATAACGGTAGAAACTTTGTAGGCGTTGCAAACGAATTTGCAAAATTTTTGTCAACTTGCTCTGATGATATTATTGAATACGCAACTACACAATCAATTAAGTTCTCATTCATCCCCCCATACGCACCTCATTTTGGTGGACTGTGGGAAGCTGGAGTCAAATCCTGCAAGTATCACTTACTTAGGGTTATTGGAAATGCACATTTGACATTTGAAGAATTTAGCACAGTATTGTCACAGGTTGAAGCTATCCTAAATTCCCGCCCACTGAGTCCTATGTCCTCTGATCCAAACGACATTAACCCTTTGTGTCCAGCTCATTTCCTTATTGGGCGGCCTTTGACAGCACCTGCATCGGCTCACTACACAGATGTTCCTGTTCACCGCTTGACGAACTACCAAAGACTAGAGCAGCTTCGACAGCACTTTTGGACTCGCTGGAACAAGGAATATATCTCGGAACTGCAAATCAGAACAAAATGGACAGGAAATGGAGCCGATCTTCAACCTAATACATTGGTTGTAATCAAAGAGGATACGGTTCCTCCTCTGAAGTGGAGCTTGGGTCGTATCATTTCCACCACGCCAGGGAAAGATGGAATTTCACGAGTGGCAGACATTCAGACTGCTGCTGGTATTGTACGTCGTGCTTTCTCCAAAATCTGTCCCCTCTTCGACATAGAAGACAAGGTGTTGGACGCTGGTGCTTCCAAGGCCGGCGGCATGTTGACGCTTGAGTAAAAAGTTCTGCCTACACCGGAACGTCGCTCCATTTCCACCAGTAGAAGCAGCTTTGACCCACGTGATCAAAAAACCCCCCTCTTCACACTCTCTACGCAATTCAAATTTTGTACGCTCAACTTTCTTTCGCAATTTTCATTTATTTATTTTATTTTGTAATTATATTCGCAATATACGCATTATTGAAGTAAACAACTGAGCTTTATTGAAGAGTACGCATAACGCCGAAACATAAGGTAAGGTTTCAAATGTTACACATCATATGCGACTACTGTAAGGCTCGCTCGTTTTTTTTTTATAAAAGAAGCTGTTATTGAATTCCAAGATTATGTTGATGCGAGGTCGTTGAAAATGTGAAAAAAATCATAATTGAATTTTAATTAAACATTATCTTTAGACAGATTTATTTAGGTAACCGTTAAATGTTTGACATATTTTACAGCGTAGATTGTATTTATGATCGAAGTACCTACTACTAAAACTAAGGTTGTGACCAAAATAGTCCGAAAGTTATTCAGACAACAGCACGTAATGCTCACAAAATCAGAAGTTATTTGTACATACACCCCAAAAAGCTTCAATGTGTATAAATAAAACAAATGATTTTCCTGATATATACTGTAGGATGTAGAGATCATAATAGCATCTTAGCAAAAAATTGATATTATGAAAGATTTTGTATTCAGCGCATGAAATATTCGGAATCTGATGTTTGATCATTCTGAAAGAATCAATACATTGATGTTATCTAATTCCCACCTCAGTAAACAAAGTCAAATGCTCTTCAACTGTCAAGTCGTCGATGAGGATTTTGAGGTCGTGGCAGTATCCCATCATGTAAGGCATGGACATGAAGCTCCTGTCCGACGTGACGGCGTGGCCAAGCACTGTGATGGTTCCTTCATCAGGGCTCGTCAAACCTTTGAGAAGAACGACGAAGATCAATCGTACAAATATATACTTCTGTACACATCTATCGGTACACTTAGTGTTATTAGTTTTAACGGTCTGTAGAAAAATTATATGTTTATATTAATAATAACATTTACTTCAGATAATTAACAAATATACTATTATCTAATAACTAGCTTAAAACAAAAAAAAAACAAAAAATATACTATAACAACGAACCTAAAACTAAAAACATTAAAAAATAAAATGTAATACCTAACTAAAATACATTATTAAAAGGAGTCCCTTTAGGCAAGGTTCTGAAGATAATGGCAGCGTTTCCCCTTTGGATAGCTAGACTTATTCTTTGTCCGAGGTAGCTGCCAGCTCTTCGGTCTCCTGTGATGTCGACTAATCTTTTTGCTACCTATTTCTTTAAAAAACCTTATAGTGCTAGGACCCCACGGACTAGCGATGTTCGACTTCGAATGATATTACCTTTCGACTAATTCGTAACTACTTATTAGGCTATTCGAAAGGCAAATTAGTAGTATACTAATGTAATTATTCGAATAACGACTATTAATTAGTAATACTAATGTCAAATGTCGCTGCGTGCGGCGCGCGCCGCCCGATGCATTCGACTCCAGTCGAATAATATGAACCGCAGTCGACTCAGTCGAATGATTAGTATTAGTATTATTCGAATTCGCGCATCGGTAGGATGAAAATAAGGTTTATTTGACAAAATACTTCCACCAGTACCTCAGAAGCTAAATACGAATTACATTATTCGTAAGTGTTATTTTCCTGCAGTAAGAAAGTTTTATTTGGTATGTTGGTTAGGTATCTGATATCTACTATCAGGCCCGAAATAAGCTTGTTTACTACCCATTTTCATTAGAATAATAAAAAAATCTTGTTACTTTTTTAATATTGAGTTACAATCAAAGTTGTTATAGTCTGTACCACCACCGTCACCGTCTAACTGTGGCCACAATTCCAACGCGTACAAAGAAATTTGGTGACTCTTTTCTTGTCGCACTATCCGTAAATGGAATGTTCTGCCCGCTCACGTGCTCCCTCCCTCTTACAACCTGGGATCCTTTAAAAGAGGCGTGAATAAGCAACATGCAGGCTGGCAGGGTGAGGATGGCTGGTGTGGCAGGGAGAACTGCTGTATCAGCTATCATCGCGTCTGGACTTCACCTTCACTTAACATCAGGTGGGGTGGAGTCATTTGTCGGACCTATATATATAGAAAAAAAAAGATTGACGAGATGATGGTATAGCATCCGGACTCTTATAAGTTTTAATTCTCACCAGTCTATCTGTACTGAATACGTAAGATGATTTTAGAAGCAACAATTTAAAAGCTATTTTTAATATAATAGTACACGTTTTATGTAGACTCTACTATGTTAAGGTAGTCTTGACCTGATACCGAGATATTTTTGATGATGAGTACTGGAATCTTAATTTAGGAACATAACTTGGGAGTAACATAAATTTTTAAATAAAACTAGTTTTTACGGGTTAATGCACGAAACTTTATTTATTTATTGACGTTTCGCAGCCTTTTCAGGTCTGCATCGTCAGAATAATGATTTTATTTCACTCTGACGATGCAGACCTGAAAAGGCTGCGAAACGTCAATAAATAAATAAAGTTTCGTGCATTAACCCGTAAAAACTAGTTTTATTTAATGAGTGATGTGCGTGAAAACCTAAGAAACAAATATAAATTTTTAATTAAATATGTAGTATCCAAGATCCTTCGTAGATCTAAAATAAACGATCTAACAACTGATAGAGTCTGTGCGGAAATGGAATGGGCGCGGGCGTGGCGAAAAACGGAACTATCATTAAGATTTTTATTTGGCAATCAAACAATCTGTAAAACGTCAAAGTTTTGTATTGATACGGATTTGTTTGTTGTTGTGATTTCTTGCGGTTTTTTGTATTTAATCATGTCTAAAAGGTTACCCCTTTTAACCTTACAAATACGGTAGAAAAGCACTACAGCGCCCTCCAATCTAAATCCCATTCTTTTTCCGCACATACTACTTATTTTTTTTTAAACGTAGACAAAGTACCTGTTAGCAAGTCTTCGATGGTGTGAATCATTCTGTCCTGAATGCGTTCTGCGAATAGTATAGTAAATTCTCCGCGGTAGATGTCCATCGTTATGTTACTGAGAATAGGCACGTTCAATATTTTCTAAGAAAGAGGTGACAAATAATAAGTATAAAACTCACTGAAATAAGATACCTATTTAATATAGCTTACTCTTAAAACCTGAGATACTTCATTAATTGTATATTGTAGCGCAAACAAAAGGTAAATAATCTCATGCATGACATTTAGGTCTACTTGCAACATTTTTTCGAAATAATTGTGTATGATGTCATATTTATGGAAATGACCTCTCAGAATCCTTATGGAAGCTGGCTCTTGGCCAATTTTTCTGTAGCTTTGGGAGATGATAGCTCATGACACGTGGAATAAAAGACCCCATGGGCCCAATGGCCAAAAGTTCAAAGATGAGGAGCTAAAGCGTGTCAAAGTCGAAAATGTACGGCTGTATAATGTTTCTGTTAAACGTGAATTCAGAAATGGTTTTGGTGATGTACACATATGTTTTTCGGGTCACTGAATCCGAATCCAGAGTCTATTCGATCCAGTCAGGTCAGCATCAAGGTCAGTTCAAGGCCAAATCCGGAAAAATACTTCCACGGTGGTGAAAATCCATACAATCAAATGATTTTCTGGATTAACCTTAATGCTGATACGATTGGTTAGAACAGACTCTGGATTCGCATTCAGTGACCCGAAAAACATATGTGTACATCACCAAAACCATTTCTGAATTCACGTTTAACAGAAACATTATACAGCCGTACATTTTCGACTTTGACACGCTTTAGCTCCTCATCTATGAACTTTTGGCCATTGGGCCCATGGAGTCTTTTATTCCACGTGTCATGAGCTATCATCTCCAAAAGCTACAGAAAAATTGGCCGAGAGCCAGCTTCCATGGGTTGTCATCGCTAAGGAAGTATTGTTCTATATTTGATCTTGAAATGGCCTTCATTTGGTTGTATGGATTTTCACCACCTTGGAAGTATTTTTCTGGATTTGGTTTTTATTAGTTTAGATTGGTTGAATCGAGATTTAGCAAATTTACTGCAAGTGGGCCTTACATTTTTGGAGCAAGACGAGTGTCCAAACTCCAAATGTGTATGTTTGAAATTATAAAATATGGACTTTACTTTTTTTCATTTTTTTCTAAAGTTTAAAGTATAACACGTAAAAAAATATGTGGATTTAATTATATTTAAATCGGTTTTTTTAATAATCTGCTATGATTCGTACAAAATTTTACTGCAGCTAATTTAGGAAACCTTTTATCTGTTAAGGAAAAAGAATTGTTATGACGAATAGGCTCGAACTAAATTTATATTGAATTCTAACATAAAATAAATAAATAAAATAAATAAATATTTCTAACACACCAATTAGCCTAACCCCAAAGTAAGCACTATAAGGCTTGTGTTATGGGATACTCGGCCACGGAGGTCGTCATAACATAACAAAAAACGTAGTTTTAATTAAATACCTTTGAACAGTTACGGAAACATATAGCCTTGGCCACTAATTCATCGACTTCTTGCAACATTGCCCTCTCATGGCCGTTCGGCGTTTTAATAGGTCGTAACTTATTAGTGTCCTTTAAAAGAAACGAAAGCAAAACATGATTCTTCATTCAGTCCAGATTTTAATCATCTTCTACATCTGTCTGATGAATTCTACATTTCAGTTTCCAAATATTTTCTTACCTCCATTTTCTTGAATATAATCGATTTCAAAGAGACAGCTCCGCCTAGAGCTCTGTCTCTTACCGTCTTCTGCATAATCATCAGAATGGCAAAGTAAAGTAAATTCATCGCACTCCACGACAGTATTGTATAAAATAATGATGGCTTAGAATCCAGTGATGAGCCTCCTAAAAATTATTGGCATGTCATCCGTCTAGTGGTTTAAAACACTAAGGTTTCACTACAGCAACATAAAAAAACCGTACCACTTAATGATGAACAATTAATAAGCTTTGATTATATAAGCCTTGTTTTGTTCACATCGCTGAAATGGCATTTGCAATTTGACAAACAGAAAAAAAAGAGTTAAATTTAATTTTAAAAAGTCGGTCTGTACTCATACGTTGCCTGGGATCAGATTTATTCATATCCCATAAAACTAACTTCCAGCTCTTAATCACTGCTGGAGGAAAGCACCAAAGAAAATGTTTTTCTGGCCAGTCATCTGTAAGGTATAAGTCGCAGCACGAAACTCTAGCGCTGACCGTTATTGCGCAGAGGTAAAAATTAAGATGTGTTAGGGGGAAACAAGGTGCGCGGGTGGGCGTGCGTTGCGCCGATTGGCTCTCCAGTCGTACACATACGCAGCTATCCCTGACGCGTTTTGTTCAGCGCTAGAGTTACGTGCGACCTGTTCCCCGAGATAAAACAACAGCTGTACTTATACTCACGTCCTGTCTGCAGCATAGCGAATTCGTTTAGTGCGTGCACTAACCCCAAGGGTGGCAATACTAGGTGCAATATGAAGGTTAAAGCTATATGCTTCTGGTCGTATTCGTGGTGCACTAGCATTTCTGCCAGGAATGTGTTCAGGAACGTAAACAGTATCGTCCAAAGACATGCGATCCACGCTGTAGGTATAATAAATTAATATTTACTTATGATTTCCATTATCAGCTAAAAGTTATAGGTTAAAAGATTGTGTTTAAATTTTTTGATCCGGTACCTATATTAGACTGGATATATCCCTAAAATTTGAAGTTTTTAATAAAATTGCAATAAAATATAAGTCAAAATTTATAATGGAATCAGTGGAAGATTATAACCCAACAGTATGATTTGACTAGCACTTTATGCTACACTGATGATTTTTTAACGGCCATTGTACAGTTGTATATACGGTCTTTGATCGACAATACTATAGACAACGGGACAGCGCGTAAAATCCGTCTAGGTAAATATAGCCTCACTTGAGGCGTGAGATCTTACTTTCAATTAGTTCGGTTATTACACAGCCAATGTAAACAAGCGTCACGATGACATAATGTTCATTCAAAAGTTAGAAAAATTACTACCAAATAAGCAATGTTTCTGTCGGAGTATCTTACTTTCAGTAAGTACATGTAAAATTAACTATATTTTATACTTTACATTTACTATATTAAATAATGTCATATTTCTAATAAAATCACAATATTGTAACCTAAGAATATTTAACAACGTTGGTCCAAAATTTTGTCCAACTTTTTTCCAACAACTATTTCGCAGTAACAAAAAGAATCGATGTAAAAACGAAATAACTCGCTGGTCTATGACTGGTAAAAATACTTTATTTTGTGGGTCATAAGGATGATTTCACATTTTCCTTTTTTCACCTTTATCGTTTTTTTCGAAGTATCGGACATAATTTATTGTCTCGTTCGTTTTATAATATAAAAGGTCGTATATACGAAATAACATTTTGTTACGAAATAACATATTGTAACTTTATTACTTTGTGACATGGTTGTTAGTAGGTTCAACTTAAACTGTTTTAAAACATTTGTCTTTGTTTATTGGGAATCGAATGTAGCTGCATAAGTATATACACACGCAGACAGTTTTACGCAATGATTTGATATGCAATCCGTTATCTATAGAATTGTTGATCGAAGTATACGATACATAAATGTGATACGGACTTAAGAGCAGTATTTATTATAATGGTCCCAAACAATGAAATATCCTCCAATTACAGACGTAAAATTCAACCAACCTGTACTATTGAACATAGCCATGATGAGAGCAATCATGATCATGACAGAGACGTAAGCGAGAGTGATGATTAGTGCGGACAGCAGATGGATCCAGCGGAAGATGAGGATCAGGGCGAAGGAGACGAGCAGGCAAATGGGCAAGGCAGTCAGGTAGGCGAATACGATCCACGCGATGTATTGCGTAGATAGGTCCACGTGGCGAATCCTGAAACCTCGCTGGCAAATGTTTAAAAAGAGATTTAAATATAAGATTATTATTATTAGGGTCAGGGTTTCGATACCGACTATGAAATAGGGAGTAAAGAACATAACCCACATAAGACACTATACACCACCAAAGAGCAATCTTTCAAATTCTGAAATAAATGGGTACCTAGGTAGATACCCATTTATTAGATTTACCAACTTTTATTTTTACCTTGTGCACAAAACGTAACATTATGTTTTGTTTTATTACCGGCCTATTTATGATTCCACATTTGGGACAGATGGCTTTCTCTATGGATGGGATGGCCCACTACGCAGGTCGCAGACCTTGGGTAGATTGGTGGTTGCTAGTGACAGCAGTTGCGGCCGGTAGATACCAACGGTTTAACGCACCTTCCAAAGTACAAAGGAGTGCCAGATAAAAAAATTTAGACTTACCGTGCCATGAACGGCCATTGCGAAAGCTGCTCAGCATTCACAGTAGAAATTATGCTATCGAATCATACCTTTAGTTTGGAGATAGTTTCGTGAACGACCAGGGATTGCGCCTCCAACACGGGCGGCAGGAGTGCCAGCGTAAGACAAAGCAGTATGCCTGACGTTGCGCGCCGCACCTGGTGCTCTTGCATGAGCGGAGACACTGGCATGGAAACGAGGCTGACCTGAAACCAGCATCATCATTAGTCGCACCTGGTGCTCTTGCATGAGCGGAGACACTGGCATGGAAACGAGGCTGACCTGAAACCAGCATCATCATTAGTCTATTGTCAGCACCTACTGCTGGGGCATAACAACATATTATAACCAGTGTGTATTGGTGGGAGCATAGATATAAAGAATGGATTGTGCGTACCCTACCCATGTTTCGTCTATGTATTGACTGTTTCTGCCTCCAACACTGGCGGCAGGAGTGCCAGCGCGAGATAAAGCAGAATGCCTGACGTGGCGCAGTGCTCTTGCATGAGCGGATACACCAGTATGGACACGAGGCTGACAAGGAACCATCATCGATATGAGTCCATTATCAGCACCATCATTCATAATGGAATGTAACCAGTGCGGATTGGAGGGAACATATATCACTATATTGTCCTAATACACTGAGAAAGGATTGTGCGTTGCCTAACCGAAAGGAAATATGAAAAAGACGCAACGATATGGCGATTTATAGTTTTTTCTATGTATTGGCTATTTGTGCCTCCAGCACAGGCGGCAGTAGTGCCAGCGTGAGACGGAACAGTACGTGTGAAGTGACCGGCGCTCTTGTATGAGAGGGAGACGAGGATGACCTGGAAATAGCTACGTCATCAGTCTATTAATTCATTTACAAAGACAAAATAACCTCCCTGAAATAGAGCACGGCTAGGAACATATTGTCTACTAGTGGCCCGCCCTCGCTTCGCTTCGGGGTAGAATTGATCAAATCCTTTCTTAGCGGATGCCTACGTCATAACATCTACCTGCATGCCATATTTCAGCCCGATCCGTCCAGTGGTTTAGGCTGTGCGTTGATAGATCACTATATCTGTCAGTCACCTTTGAGTTTTATATAAATAGATTTTCATTTGCATTTCGTCATTGCAGGCTAAATTTTCTATGAAATAATTGTTATCTCAAAAACCAACTTACCTGTATAAAGCGCGTCTAAAAATAATAAGAAGAAGACTTTGAGACCATTAAAACTAGATTGTTGTTACAAACACTTACTGTTTGGTAACAATACTGACAATCATTGCAAAGATTTCGCGAATTTTTATAGCCAAACTTAAAAAGCGGCCAAGTGCGAGTCGGACTCGCCCATGGATGGTTCCGTAGCAGCAAGTAACATAATATAATAGTTCTTGTAGTTCATTGTAACTATGATCGATGTTTTAATAATAGTGTATTTTTTTAAAGGTAAATTGGGGTTTACTGTTTATGATTATGACGTATTAAAAAAAATTACTTACTACCTTTTGTGATAAAGGTTAAACTGCTGCTTTACATAAAGGTTTTTAATTACGTGTACAATGTTATAGCTATATGTATAATTATCTACATTGTTTAAATATCAAGTAAACATTGATAATGATAAAATCATTATAGTAAGTAAGATTGATCACATTAGGTTACAAACAGATGAAAATACGCCACGGATTTTTTTTGTGTTTTTGTAATCTGTGTTGATTAATGTGAACTAAACCTTATTTTCAACATCGTTTACATCGCCGAAATAGCTCAGTTGGGAGAGCGTTAGACTGAAGATCTAAAGGTCCCCGGTTCAATCCCGGGTTTCGGCAGTTATCTTTTTATTATTTGTAATGAGTGTTTATCATTCATATTAATTAAACGTAAAGACAAAACTTAAAATTTTAGTAAGATTAATAAAACTTATTGATCAGTAAAACTGATTTATTTTACTTAAATAGTTTTTATATCAATCTAGTATTATTCATTATCTCACGAGATACTCGTACGTGTCAGTTGCATTGCGTGTCTGACGTCCTGTGTGTCCGTTTTAAATTGCATATCTGTCGAACTGCGTTCCTATCAAACTGCGTATTTCACGAGTTTCTGTTTTGTAGTCTGACCAAATACATATACAGGGTGTTACAGAATTCCGAAATAAAATTTGTAGGTATGTATTCCGAAATAAAAAATTGTAGATATCTGTGCGGGGTGCAGGGGCGCCTGGGGGAGAGAGGGGGGTCTGTTTAGGTAGTAGTAATCGTACGCATTTATAGGGTTGTCATAGGCAGGTGTAAAACGATATTATTATTAATTTAATTAGAAAATAAAAGTGGTCTGAAAGGCGTCAAACTTTCGTAGGTAATTCTATACAAGGAACACAACCAAACCCTGAGGTTTTATTTGGGACTTTTGTCACACCCTGTATATGACCACCTGCGCGTCCGATGACATGCGTGTGATTCAAAAAGATGAATGAAATTAGTAAAGTCGTTCTCAAGGTTTGGCCACCGCGTAGCGGAGGGTAAATGGGATTTTAATTTTAATACTGCTTGAAAAATAAAACCCAATAATTAAAAAAAAAGACTTTTTGGCGGGATCGGGAAGCGTCACTTTAGCAGTTTTGTTTTTCTTGTTAAAAATTGTGTTGTGGCGGTTGTTAGTATCTAATATTAACCACTAAGTGTTCGGGAACTTGTACAAGTGTTGGCAAGTGAAACAAAATAGCGGAAAGTGTCTTTCGACGTTCCCTCAAGAAGTCCACGGGGAGGTTCCAGTAAATCCCCACATATTTACTGAAACATAGGGAAAGGGGGTTTGACTCGACTGTCACTTACTTTGACTTGATTTATTAGTTTTACCACGAGTGCTATAGAATTTTTAAACATTTTAACTGGCTAAATGCACAAGCCGTGCGAAGCCATTTAGGAAAATAAAAGAAAAAAATAGAGCTAGCGTGTTCAATAGCGGTGGCTGACGTCTTCTTAGCTAGGAAAACAGTGCGCAGGTGAGGTTTGCGAATGACGTTAAAAATGAGGAGCTGGCGAACAAAACGGCATCTAATCAAAATATTCTTTTTACAGTCCGGGGGTTTTGTGCCCGCTGAATTTGAACCTCAACTCATTTTCTATCAAAACCGCCTAAAATAGAGTTAAAATTACAAAATTAACAAATAGGGATGATGACTATTTTTTTTCTTCGTTTATCAGGTAGATTATCAAAAAAGTATTAGATATTTTTTTTTCTCATAATATAAACATTGCAGAGATATATTGATTTGAAAAGTCGCAACGAACCCTACTCCCAAACTTTGACGCGCTATAACTTTGTCATTTTTTGGTTGATTGCCCAAAGAAAAATACGTATCCATTATTTTTTGATCATCTAACTGACGGACTAAATAGAATTTCTCTCTCACTGTAGGTGTGTCGTTTAGTTTTTTAAAGCTCCCGTAAAATTTAATTTTGTTTTTGTATTGTTTTGTTCTCGAGGAGCTCGATGGCGCAAGTAGTTAGCGCGTTTGGCTGCGATCGTTGAAGTTAAGCAACTTTCGCAGTGGCCGGTCATTGGATGGGTGACCAAAAAATTACTATCTCGAGCTCCTCCGTGCTTCGGAAGGCACGTTAAGCCGTTGGTCCCGGCTGCATCTGCAGTCGTTAGCACCAGCCAATCCACACTGGGCTCGCGTGATGGATGGCCCAATCTCCCTATTCCATCCATAGGGAAGGCTTGTGCCCCAGCAGTGGGGACATTAATGATGATGATGATGATTGTTTTGTTCGCCAGCTCTTCAAATATAAGTACCTCGAACTTGGGGACAACAGGGCTTGCGAGTTCGATGACGGCCTGGCTAACAGCAGCCTGTACGGCGAGGAACCCGGCGCGCAGATGTGGATTTGGACGATCAGTTTCGTCTAAGATCGCGTGTCGCGCTCGCTCCGTGCTCCTAATACTGAACTTCCACACATTACCTTCCTGACAATGAAAATTATCTGATAACTAATCTGGTAACTCATAAAATATTGACTGTTTAATCTAAATAATGGACACCCACCTTCGGCTTCCATATCACGAAGATAACAGGATTGGAAAGCGGAGTGCCTCCGGATATTTCATAGAGCCTGTTTATCAAATCATCTTCGCTCGCCGCAGCCATCATATCTACAGAACGGAACGAAGCTTTAACGTTTTTTAAAGATTGCCAAGTTAATTATTAATGGAATGTTTTGTGGAATGACACGGGATTTCATTGCATTACTCGTATAACATTTCATGATAGCACGTAGTTTTCAAGACATCCACATCAATCTGTCAAGGATCCTGCATGACGCGTTAACGTGAATAATCAAGCTGAAAAAGCCACACGTAGGTTCATTTACAATGATTATCAGGTAGGAGTGGGCGTTTTTAGAATAACGATGCGCTATAACGATGCCAGGTTTGGATGCGCGCATCCGACGCGACTGGATGACGTTATTAGATGCCGATGCCATCTAGTTTTTGTCAACGTAACTATAGCAACAGTGCCGCTAACTTATCTGTGCCGGTAAAGATGTCGCTAGCGGTGAACAAATATGTCATAAAAATGTCACAATGCTATGGATAAATTGTAGTTCCATTTTTTGCCACTGGCACTGAAAAGTTTGTGATACTACGATACTGACATTCACTTGGCATCGATACGATGCCAACATCGGTGCGCGGATCCGATGCGATTTATCTGATACCAATGCGCATCGATTTCACAAATATCTAAAAACGCCCATCTCTATTATCAGGTTGCGTGATTAAAAAACACATTTACGCATGTATATATTCAATCAATATTAGGCAACGTCCTTTTGGTTTATTGTAAGTTACATCTATTCTCATTTTTTTTATATTAAGGTAGGCAAATGACTCTACCCCACCTGATGTTAAGTGGTGATAAAGTCCAAACGCGAACATAGCTGGTACAGCAGTTACAAACTGCTACACCACCTGCAAAAATGCTTCTTCACGCCTCTCTTAAAGGACCCCAGATTATAGGAAGGAGGGAACACCTGCGCGGGTAAAAAATTCCACTTACGAATAGTACGACAAAGAAATGAGTCACCGAATTTCTTTGTTCGTGTAGGAATAGTGGCCACAGTAAGTCGATGGCAACGTAGGCCAGCGCGCGTGGTCCTCTGAAGAAAATGTGATGGAGGGATAAGGGAGAATAACTTCTCAGAACACTCGCCGTGGTATAGTCGATAAAATGCGCATTTTTTTTTCATTTGCTAAAATACCAGTTTGCAGAAGCTGCGCAGCTCTGGACATCACGGTGACGTATTGCTCCTCGTTGGGCGCGTATCCCAACACGTTCCTGGAGTGGAGGGAGGCGAACAGGTCCACAGAGGCCAGCGGTGGCTCCAGCTCGGTCTGCAACGGCGTCAGGAACACCGGCTTGGCGATCAGTACCGCTATTACCAGCAACACTGCTGCGAATAGCGTCTCGGCCAGCAATAGGCGCCAGCGCCTCCTGGTATTCCGAAAATATTGTAAATAGGAAAATGACTATTTTCAATTATTGCCGATATTATTTCTAAGGATATATTTAAATGGAACTGAGACTTCCTTTCCTCCAAATTTTTAATTCCTGATAAAAAGCAAGTTATGTCCATCATTAAGGAGTCAAGGTCCTGTAAATATCTGTCACCGTAAAATTGTAAATACCGTTAGATTATAATATACCTTGCGAGATTGTAAATTATCGATGGCTTGTGAACATACTGCATACAATTTAACGTATTATTTTTTAATAGATTAAAATCTATCGAAGTGAGACTGTTATATCACAATCTATCGCGCCTTAAATTTTCATCTCTCCGAAGGCTGTCCCTGATTTTTTTATTTATTATTTTGCTACACAAATAGAAAGTTACCACAATTAATAGGTCTAGGTTAAGGATCTAGGTTAAGGTTAAGAAGAAGGATAGTATATTAATATTTCTGATATCAAGTAAGAAAAAATTGTAGGTATCAAAATAAAAAAATCAGAAATGTAACAATATTGTCTCCACAAAGATAAGTTAAAATTGAAATAATAAAATTTTATAAAATACAAAAAAATAATAGAAACATAAGTAGGTATATTGATTTCTTTCAAAACAAATATACTCAACAAAATAAAAGAAAGCATGACAAAATTGTGTTTTGAAAAAAAATTAAAGTAATTGCACCATTGAATATGTAACCGGGGAAAAAACCTGGTTTTCATAAATTTTGCTATGACTATTGAAAAAAGAAATATCAATTACAATCTCTTATCTATTAGACAAGTCCGTCCGTCCGTCCGTGGTGCTGTTTCAGCGGCCAAACCGTAAGAGATAGATATAGAGAATGTTTAAGTTATAAGTTAAGAATAGTCTGACAAGACTACAAACCTGATGTGAGTAACGTAGCACTTCCGGTTTTCGAGAAATCACGTGATTTCTATTTCAAACGAAACCACACAAAATCTCCGAAGTTCTCAATTAATTAAAAACTTTTTTTTTCTTTTTTTTTTTTTTGGTGAACATTTGGTTCACTGGTTTGCTAGTTAAATATATTTCTTTTTTAAACGTAACTGCTAAATGTTTAAATCTAAAAGGTATTCATTGACGTTGAGGGTCACCTACAATGCTAAGAGATGGCGCTGCCTTGCAGTCTAAGAAATATTAGGGAAAATTTGACACGGCCGTCAAGGTCGCGGTAGCATAATGCCTTATGGAAAGTGCATCCACCCAGATAGCGGAGGGTACGAGTTTGAGTCTCGTCTGCTGCCTGGTCCTTGAACTCGGAACTTTATTACATTTTAAATATGCATGTGTTAACGGACGACCATGGTTCGTGATAATTTGCAACGAAGCCTAGCTTCCGTGTCGTTGGTGCGTACTCATTCGAATCCGTCCGCAATGTCACGCACCGTGGGAATTCACCTTAAAATACATTCCTCATAATTTAAAGAACCATTTTATTACATGAGAATATTGAAACTACAACCCCAAAAATGTACGAGATGACACTCACTGTCTTTGTAAATAACATTTCCAGGTGAGCGAAACGGCATGTCTCTGGAATTTGCTACGAACAACTTTTTTTATTTCTTCATCATTTAATTGCATTGCTTCATTTACTTTTTAGCAGTTTTATGCTATGTTAGATTAGATTAGATTTCTTCAGTGATGGCTCCCTCAGGATTTGGCCAATATCTGGTATTTTCACAATGAAACAATTGACATCAATTTTTTTTCAACGATCTCTCACGACAGGCAAGGCAAAGGGATCAATGTCCATACAACCTATCTTAAGTGTTATTAATCTTCTTTTTTACATTAGAATGTCGGTGTGACGCATCCTAATGTTTCTTGGAGTGTATGGCACGAAATGTTTCGAGTAAGCTTTTTCTATAAGCTTCTGTGAGGTAGTCAACACTACCATAAAGTTCTCACGTCCACTTGACCGGAATAGAATAGTACATCTTAAAGATTCCATTAATTCTTCAGTTGCGCAGGCGGTTGTAATATATAAATAATCACACCAATTTCATTTCACAATATCCACTATGAACGAATTTAAGAATAATTAAAATAAGACGCCAACCGCACTCGATGAAATCGCGCCAAAAACCCCAAATGATATTATATAATGATATCGGTCTAAGATGCGACTTGCAATTGGTCACAGAGTATTTCAATACAATCAAACCCAGCAATCTGTAAAACGTCAAACTTTTGTATTGATATGGATTTGTTTGTTGTTGTGATTTCTCACGGTTTTTTTGTATTTTATCATGTTTTAGGGTAAAACCTTACAAATACGGTAGAAAAGCACTACAGCGTCCTCCAAAATGCCATTCTCTTTCCGTACAGACTCTATTAATTTCGCACATCACCTTAAACCTAAGTCCTGGGACCTTCTCGGAGTTTTTCACACTGCCACACGCACGGTGGATCCGGCACCGGATTGGTGACAAGTTCGTCTCTTATTTAAGTTAGAGTAAGATGAAGAGTGTCGGTAATGATCACCAACTATCGAAAATGAATTTTAAGAGTGCATTAGTTAAGCTGACCAAGGATTGAGAGAACATCAGATTTTCCTTTCAGTTCCAGTTTGGAACGTCTGTATAGGGAAATTTATGTCTCGTGGGAATACCTATATTAGAGGATCTCCGTGGCCGAGTGGTTTGTATGCCGGGTTTCATCGTGTCGCTGACTCGAGAGGTCCCGGGTTCGAATCCCAGTGGGGGCAGATATTTGTGTGATGAATACGAGCATTTGTACTCCAGTCAAGGATGTTTGATATGTAATTCTATATAAATATATTTATATATGTACAGTATATGTATTCTATCCGTTACCCTAGTCTCCCATGATACAAGCCTTATAGTGCTTACTTTGGGACTAGGCTAATTGGTGTGAGTGTTGGGAATCTTTTTTTATTTATACGCATGTATCTATGTAAGTATATTTTCAATTTGTCCTTGACATTTTGAATATGCGTGAAAACCTAAGAAACAAATATGTATTTTACTTTGAGCAATGTTATCAGTCTGGCTTTTCCGCATTTGTTCAGTACTATTAAAGCAACTGTGATAATTTTTATATCGAATCAACGTGATTTGTAAATGTTACCGACCTTATAATGATGTCAGTCCACAAAAGTGTGAGAAAAAATGCAGGTAATTATACTTAGGTGTTATTTGTCCCGTCCCGTGTGGTGCCACCGCAAGTTGTCAAACAAAAAGTACCTTCAGTATTATAATGACAAATTAATGTTGCTACTATACTTAGGTGTTCTTTGTCCCGTCCCGTGTGGTGAGACCGCAAGATGTCACACAACAAGTAGAGTCTGTGCGGAAAGAGAAGATGGGAGGGCGCTGTAGTGCTTTTCTACCGTATTTGTAAGGTTTTACCCCTTTTAGACATGATTAAGTACAAAAAACCGCAAGAAATCCCAACAACAAACAAATTCGTATCAATACAAAACTTGGACGTTTTAGATTGCTGGGTTTGATTGCCAAATAGAAATCTTAATGTTAGTTCCGGTTTTTGCCACGCCCATTCTCTTTTCGGACAGACTCTAAAAATCATAATAACGATGGATAGGCTCTGCTTCTGTGAATAATAAGCATTTTAAAATAAAAGAAGCGCTAATGAATAACTTTCTGACGGCTAAGTCTCATCTTTCGTGGCGCGTACAGGGGATAGCTGCGCATAGGTACGACTGGAGAGCCAATCGGCGCAACGCACGCCCACCCGCGCACCTCGTTTCCCCCCAACACATCTTAATTTTTACTTCTGCGCAATAACGGTCAGCGCTAGAGTTTCGTGCCGCGACTTATACTATATTATAATTATGATATAGAGATAGTAAAGGAACTTAATACAAAAAATACTAGTTACGCAACATTGAAAATCTATATGTTAGTTATCAGGCGCAGTCGCAGCCTGAAATTTTGGAGGGGGTCATTCACTACACTAATAAAAAATCGGTATCTGGAATAAAATAAACATTATTGCACAATACACAATTTAGTTTATACATTACTTATAAAATATTGTTAAACAATCTTTATCATAACGACGCATATCGATTTTGCTAGGATTACCAAAACTACATAGTTTCTAAACTAGTACTAAATGTAATTTCAAAGTTATTTTGGCCATACCATTGTTGGTATGGTATTAAATCAATATGTACTTTTATTATTCATATTCAATGTAATTTAAAAAAATGCGGACAATTTAAAGGTCAATTTAAAGGACTATAGTCTAGAATAGGGGTGATGACGGGGTACGGTATAGGAAATTCTATTTAGTCCGTCAGCTACATGATCAAAAAATAATGGACACGTATTTTTTCTTTGGGCAATCAACCAAAAAATGACAAAGTTATAGCGCATCAAAGTTTGGGAGTAGGGGCTCGTGACGTCACTTTTAAGTGAAAATGTTACCAAAACGTGACGTCATGCAACCGTTCAAATCAATATATCTCTGCAATGTTTATATTATGTGAAAAAAGAAAAAATACGTGTCCAATACTTTTTGATAATCTACCTGATAAACGAAGAAAAAAAAAGTCATCATCCCTATTACTACGGACTATACCTAGTCTAATCCGGATGGATGGTAACTCTAAATCTAACCCTATGACGTGGAAAAAGTTATCGAATATTGTTTAAAGTATATCAGTTTGTGTTTATATTACATGCTACTTGATATGGACAAGTGTATCCAAATAGATTTGTGCTAAAATTGACACTTAAGCGCAAATTGGGAATGTCGCAGATGCATGTAGCTGTGTACTATATATTTTGGTTTGTCGTCGTATTGCCTTCAGTCTTACTATACCCAGGAATCAAAATGGCTCGTGCTTTATTCTTAGTGGGATTCACTCTGCTCGTTCTACTATATGTCTCCGTCGAAGGAGGTAAAATTTTTTTTTCAATCCTTTAGTAATCACTTGTCGGATATCGTATCACATAGGGAAATTTTAAATTTTGCCTTTCTTATAAATATATTTTGAATAAAATGGACGGTGCGGAGCGTTTTATATTTCAATGGGTGAAAATTTATCTGAATATATTCATTCAAAATATTAAGAAAAACCAGCCTTACGTTAAATATATTTATAGACGTTTTTATTTCATATATTTCTCTCGTACCTATAAAATTAAGATAATAACAGTAATAACACCATGGATTAATAAATTTGAGATAACCTTTTCAGCATTTTTATGATGGAATTCAAATATTTTTCACTTGGATTTTTTATTAAACTTTTGTGTTATCTATCTTTATATATAAAAACTAATTGTTAGTTAGTCTCGCTAAAACTCGGGAACGGCTGAACGGATTTATCTTATTTTGGTCTTGAAATGTTCGTGGAGGTCTAGGGAAGGTTTAAAAGGTGAGAAAAATAATTATGTGTATAATACATGCCTGAGAACAAAAAGTAGTCTTCCTATTGTACAGCTAATTACACCGAAGCGAAGCGAGGGCGGGCCACTAGTAACAAATATTTATATTGATCGTTGATTAGATGAATTCAAAATAATAACATTTGTTCAAAATAGTCAAATATCTCGGGAAATTCAAATGTTAAACGCACATTTTTTCACGGCAACACGATGAGCCCTTTGCAATTTGAAGGGGAAGATCTATACGTAACTAGAGATTGACATTATTATTAAAACACCTATTATGCCGCGAATAATATAAAAAAATCTCATCCATATTTGTATTTTAGGTTTTCACGCACATCACTTATTAAATAAAACGATTTTTACGGGTTATATGCACTGAATTTATTTATCTGACGTTTTGCAGCCTTTGCAGGACTGCGTCTTCAGAAATAATGATATTAATGATATGATATTTCTGAAGACGCTGTCCCGCGAAGGCTGCGAAACGTCAGATGAATAAATTCAGTGCATATAACTCGTAAAAATCGTTTAATTTAATCACATCCAGTGTAGATGATTTTTAATGTACACCAGTGTACTCCAATTTTGAGTATAATTTGAGATATAACGGAATCTTACTTGATTGGTTTATTTGTTTCAGCTAGTCGGGTAGCCCGGTCTCCACAATTCGGAGGCGGTTACGGCGGCGGCGGCGGCGGTTACGGCGGCGGCGGCGGTTTCGGCGGCGGTTACGGAGGCGGTTACGGAGGCGGTAGAGGTTACGGCGGGGGTGGAGGTTACGGTCGTCCTAGATACGGCCCTGGTTTCGGCGGTCCGCCAGGTTTCGGGGGTCCCCCAGGCTTCGGAGGCGGATCTCTAAGTATCTCTAAGAGCGTCAGCATCAACAGAGGACCCGGGGGCTCCCAGGCTGCTTCAAGCGCAGCCGCAGGCGCAGGTGTGGGTATTGGTCCAGGCCCAGGCGGTTTCGGAAAGTAAAGCTTTGATGACGTTTCGAATGATGCTGCAGTGGAGTCGTGACAATTTTATGCAAAGTTATTTGGATTCTAGTTTAGTTGAAATATAATTGTTTTGTTTAATTATTTTCTTCTTATATAGATAGGTACTTAGGTTTTGTTGCAGAGCGATGCAGAGATATAAAAAAAACTATGTTTTATTGTTTTTAGTCACTCTTGTGTATGTACAACTGTTAAATGACATTGTG